TCCTGCTATTCCTTTTCTAGCCCTTCCTGCCTCCCTGCCAGTGAATGAATGCAGGTCTGTAAAGCCAGGACAGACATGGTGATTTCTTCCAAGCTCATTTTGTCATGCTTGTGATAGTCATCTTTGTGATAGTAAGCCCTTTATCTATTCCATCACATCTTTACCAAAGGATTGGGTAGACTGGAGTTAGCACATGTATCAACATACTGGAAGCCCTAGTACTGAGTAGTTGGACTAGTGAATGTCTAGTGAATGGTAAATAAATTAGTCCAAGACCACTCTGTAACATCTGCTGTTGACTTAGGGCAGAGTGGTGTTTGTACTAAATCTTGCAGAACTGGCACAGTGCAGAAAGGTAGGAGAAGAAATGGGTGTAAAAGGCCAGTGGAACCTGGAGCAAAACCATTCTAGGGCATAGGGCAAGATAACTATTTGTCATTGTGCTCTTGGGAGAAAATACAATTGTTGGACAGATGACCTAGGAGAAATATATGAATCTGTGATTCCATCCATCTCTGATTAAGAGCTGTGACTATGTGTTCCTGTGAATCACGTGTCCCTTGTACTTTGAATTTCTGCTTGTATCTGATGCTTATCCTGAGGTATTTGATAGAAATGCATACAAGTTGTTGTTGTCCTAGGGGGCTGAATGTTCAATTTGTTTCTTAAAGAGTGTTTTCATAAGCTAATGCTTTCACCAATGTAAACCATGCCATGGCTTGCTATGCCACAGCAATTGACTGCCTCATATGAATATAAAGTTTACTGAAGAATTTTTAGAGTTAGTGATTTATTTTATCTGTCACTTCAAACAGAAGAATTACGGGCTCTGTCTTGTCCAGCTGGGAAGAAACTTAATGCTAACTCTGGATAGTTTTTGCACTGCAGTTTATTGCTGGTGTGTGCTTTATCTTAGGGATTTTTTTTGTCCCTACCTGTTCAGAAAAGTATTTTGATCTTAGTCCTGTAGCCTTTCTCTCTTTTGAGAAACTGGACCTTTACTGTGTCAAGGTCCTTTACTCTGTTTCTTACAAGAAAGGAGCAGTGGGGAAGGTGCTGGGGGAACCAGACCTGGGTAGAACAGGTTGCTCAGTCTGTCCATTCACCCTTCCAGGTGTTCCCCTGCTCACTGGGCTCACCACCCTGTGTCCCCTCCCTGCCTCCTGGCCGGATAGGCAGGTTTGACTTGTGCGGTGTGGTTGTAAAACCAAGTTGGACTCTAGTCCTGACCTATACAGTGGTGGTCATGCATGGGCTGCCCAACAGGGCCCCTTAGGCAGTACTCCTGCCTAAGTACATGTTTGCATACCTTATCCTTCTCCCCCTTTTTAATCATCCTTGTTGTAGTCCTTGCTCCTCACTTTCTCTACCCCACTATCTTTTCAAAGAGACAACCTGCCCCATGTATGGTTTTCTCATGGGTTCCAGTTTTATGACCTACATGCTCAAATTTGCTATTTCTGATACTACTCTCTTGATATTTTAAACTCCAACCAATATAACCAATATTATTGAGATAGTTGGCCAATGCTGCTGGCCTTTCGGTGGGTAAGCTGGCTGAAGAGTGTGTAAAGAGTGGTTGGGTGCTCTCACATCTCTGTTAGGTTTTTGTTCTTAATACTGAAATTCTTGGGTTCAGTGAAGGAGGGGTGAGCTCTTCAAAAGTTCTCTGAGTTGGCCCATGTCTACTCTGGATGATCTTGGTGGTGACAGAGTGAAATGAATACTTTAAAAATGCTGCCTGAAGGGATTTCATGTTCCATCTGCTGTTTTTTCACTAAAAGGTATATAAGCTTTGTTTATTTTTACTCTAGGCAGAAGCACTTGTGCGGGATAGTGACATATCAGCTCATGCCCAGAATGTTGCCAAGGCCAAATATGAATTTTTATTTGGCTTGGAAGAAGAGAAGCCTTCGGGAATGGGTAAGTTCTATTTATTTCTACTTTGTGCAAAAAAAAAAAATCTCTTAAGCCACTCAGGAAAGTTTTGCAGAAGCTTCTCCTTTAATGACCCCGTGAGGCTCACTCACTATGCTATGCTGTCCTTTGCAAGTACCGGATCCTGCTGATTTGGCCGCAGAAAATGACAGTGGTTCCCTCTCTTATACCCCTGCCTTTCTTTCTGGCTCGTGTGGGCCATCATGATGTGACAGCAGGGACTCACGTGCTAAAGGCACATTGGTGGAGGGAGTCCCTGCACTTCTCTGCAGTGGAGTTGTTCAGCCATGAGTTCTGCAATTGCACATGCTGAAGCATGGCCATTTCTGCCTGGAGATCTTCCAGAAATGCACTTTGTGGTCTTTCTACAAGTAGAGGTAGGTAAGATTTTAATTCAGATACTTGACTGGTGCCCGGACTGCTCTGCCCTCTGTAGTCAGTGATTCTAGAAGTCCAGATGCTTCCGTAATATCTAATGTTATATCTAAAGATCTGTCTTATTCCTGTTGTCTTCTTGTAAATATAGGGCATTTTCTACGTTTTAAAGCCCAAGCTTAGAAGAAAAGAAATGTAGTTATTGTAGCTATTCCTCTTGCCTTGTCAAAATTATCAACAAGCCCTGCCCTCTTTGAAAAAGCATTTCTGCAGGCTGTTCTCTGTGTACCTTGATCCTTTCTAATTGCAAACTTTCTGGAATGTCACTTAATTAAGGAAGACTCACTTCTTGCTAGAAAAGGGCAGCACTTTGCTCAGAAACAAACTGTGTATGTTCCTCCACTTTAGTAAGGAAAAAAAAAATAATAAAGCAGAACGTGAGTTTCTTCCTGGCTTTTATAAAGTTTGGTCATCCACCTGGGAAATCCTAATTGCATAGTAGAAAAAAATCCAAATTTCCAAAAAGAGAAAAAAATCCTCAAAAAAACCCAAACCAAAAGGACCTCATTTAGGAATTTTAAAAACTCTTTCAAATTGCCACAAAATGTGTATCAGTTCATTACATGAATCATGATGACCTCATTTCTTGCTTGGAAAGACACAGTGTGAGAGCACTGTCAGCAGGCATTGGTACAAATCCAGAGATTGGTATTAAATAAAGTATGCTGTGTCTAATAAATCCAAGTGAATCTATTGTTATTACCAGCCAAAACAATTATCAAATATGATGGGTATTCCAAGCTAAGTACTGAGCTCTAAAATAAAGGGTAGCAAAGAGTAAGCCAGATATATTGACTTATATGCCTAATTCGCTGTATTTTTCCTGTGCTTCTTGCTTTGTTACTGGATCTCCTTCTTGCCTTGTTTCCGGATCTCCTCCTGTTCCTTTATTAATGAGAAACTACCAGTAAGAGCTAACAATTGCAAAATGGGAGTTAATTCAAGGGACCCTGACAAGAGGGTTTGTGAATATTTAACAGTGGTTAACATACAACATTTGTGAATTGCACCCAAAAACTGGGTGACATCGTGCTTACGCAGACTGGCCTCATGCTGCCACAGACAAATGCATCCTCCTTCTCCTCTTACGAGTTGTTTGACTGCCATGGATAAATGATAGTGGTTCTGCCCCTTCTAGTTTTTTCTTCAGCTTTTAACTGCTTATTTACTGGAGGGGAATGAGGACAGGGTGACTGAGGGGACAGTAGTACAAACTCAGGGCTTTTGTACATCAAATAATGTTTTTTCTTTTTATTTGATATATATCAAATATGTCATACATATGCTTTTGGGGGAAGCAACTATGCTTGAAAGTCTTTCTGTTCTTCTCCCTATTAGATGGGAAGGGAGAAAACACCACCAAAAATCCAAATAAACATGCTACTTTCTGAAGTTTCCTTTAAAGGAAAGAAGACATGCTTTTTAGGGGTCAAAGTATGAAATATTTCAAGCAAATGAGTCTCAGAGGCAGGGCCAGGAGAAATGTTGGTGTTTAAACTTGATCAAGAGAACAATTTGTCACTGTGGGCAGTTACGCTGAACTTTAGTTTACCTAACCTAAAGCAGTTTACCCATGCCATGGCTGGCCTCAGAAACGGAACGTAGCATGTAAGCTGCTGAATATCTTAATTACTTCTGCCTTCTGGTTTATACTTTCCCTTTCGGCCACAGCCAGGTTACTGTAGCCCTGCTGATGCTGCTGAGGATATACATGTCTTGACTAAGTACTAAAACACTTGCATCAGACAAGCCAATTCACAAAGAAAGAGCAATAAGTGGGGGCAAACTGTGGCAAACACTTCTGTTTACCCAGGTGGGAGATGGCAGCTTTTGTTAATAAGCTCTGTGCTGATTTTTACCTTCCAGGTTGAAGCTGCTGGTCATTTTCAGATGAGAAAATGAGAGGGGGGGGAAAAGAAAAAGTTAGATGGCTTTTGAAGAGGTGTATCATCAACGATATTCAAATGCTAATAAAGCTGTCACATATAAAACATTTTCCTTTGCTGTCTTCAGTCTGATTTTATCTGGGATATTTGTGATCACTGATGCCCTAATGTTCTCTTGACTTTAATGCATGATGCCTGTTGTCTGGGTCCTCTCCTCTCTTGTCCATTGCCCATCCTCCTGCCCTGCATGCATTACTTGAAGCAGAAGCAGGTCCAAGCGCCCCGGGACCCTCCTGTTGTGGAAGGGTTCAAGACCATGCATTTCCCTGCAGACCCCTCCCGCTGGGAGAGCAGGGAGGATGCACCACACTTGTCCACGTGGCCCTGCACAGCCTGGCCACCTTCCTTGGCGAAACCCCAGCCTTCTGCCTTCCAGCAAAAGAAAATATTTTTTAGAAACTGAATTTAGCTGGGTTGGACAAGACGTCTTCTCAGACTCACTGACATAAAAGGCCACTTGTTGTATGTGGAAACATACATTCCTTCTCTGGAAACTGCCGTGGAAACAGTGATCTCTCTTGAGCAGACTTTCTTCAGGCTTGGCTGTGCTACAGGTCTGATTTTTATGACTTTGCTGTTAATATATTTAAATACCAAAAAGAAAAAAAAAGTTATGGCCACATAACTTTTTTTTTTTTTTTTAGTCTTAAAAGTGCTTCCTTGGGGGAAAAAAATGGGGGATACTACAAAATAATTCTTTAAATAAACATGAGGGCCAAATACCCCATAATTCCTGTTATATGAGAAAATAAATCCAAGACTGTTGTTAGGAAGAAAATAGCTTCTTAAGATTAATAAACAGTCTTTTCTCTGATGCTTCTGAAAGGAGAAAGCTTTCATCCCTCCTGTGTACCAGAGGTTTAATCTCATCCTTCACAAAAAGGCTCTGTACAAATACTGCCTGTGTTGCTATGCAAATCTGGTCTTTCCCAACAGCTGCTGGAAGAAGCTTGGTTTTGAATTCCTGGTGAAACAAATAGCTTTTTGGAAAGCCTGTCACTTGCTGTTTTGTGTTCAGTGAGGTGTCATGAGGCAACTGAGCTCATTTAACATCTTGCTTCTGCCAAGAGATGGTCCCAGACACACACTGCCACCAATTGTCTCATGCTAGTTCTTGTGCTCATCTGTGTACTTAGCAAGCTCAAGCCAGCAAAAACTGTAACAGACCCCCCCAAAATAATGCCAAAAGAACAATTCTAAAAAAAGGGCTTATTTTCTTCTGGCAATGTGTGCTGAATCACCATTGCAAGGGGTCAAACAATGCCAGATCTGACACGTGAAAGAAAATCAAACACATACTTTGACCCATGCAACATATCTGTTCCTGAACTGCAATCGAAGAAATGATTGCTTTTGCTTTAGAATGTCTAGAGCTGTTTTTCAAGAGCAAAGGAAGGACACAATGGCTGCTATTTTGTAAAAGTAAAGCCTTTTCAGGGTTCTTACGTTTCTGATTTAAACATCTTTAAGAAAGTGATCCCAGTATCTTTATTTAAAGTGAGCATCACTGACATACATTCTATCTCACTTGTTTGCTCTGTTACTTCAAGGCACGCATGTCCAGCTCTGCTGCATCCCCCTCACATTGCATGGGAATGGCACCTTCTTCATCCTCCCTGCAGGAACTGCCCTTAGACCACCGGCACTCATTATTACATTGTTCTCATGATAGCCCAGACTGCTGACTGTAGTCTTGCCCAGTGCTCCAACCCTGTTGTTTTCCATTTTGAGGCACCACCCTTTGCTATATTTTCATCTCGTGCTCTTTCCATCTCCAGGCAATCCTGAAAGTCTAGGCTCCCTGGTCTGGTATCTTCCTCTGCAGCTATGTTTTGCTTAAGAAGTGCAAAACTGCATTTTCTGAGGGTTGGAGGACTGCCTGATTTTCACATTAATTTTGCTTAATTATGGTGAAGGATTGGCACATCAGATGTCCTGCAGTGTTCACCAGGAGCACACACAAGGCTGGAATACAGAAAGCTCAGAGCTGTGGTACCCCTCTCATAATTAAAGGTCCATCATCCTGTTGTGCATATTTGACTTTATCAGCTTGTTGTTGTTTCTAGTGTCCCACTGCATTTTCTGACATACAGAAATCCTGCAGGAGTTTTAAAACCGTAGTGTGTAATCAGTAATTTTCTCATAAATATCCCCAATGTTTGGCATTGCTGATTGGCAATGATGCAAAAAGAAGGTTAACTTTTTAAATTTAATTTTCCAGAGGTACTGTATTGGAAGGTACTTTTCCACTTGAGTTTGTGCACTGTAGGAAGTAATTACCTCTTTGGCACCAGCATGTTCGCTGGCCACGCAGAGTGCTCCTCTTTCACTCCAGCATGGAGTAAAGCAGCTCATTTTGGATGCTCTGAAGAGCACATGGAAAAATAAATGCTGGTGCAGAAGGATGGGTTCCATTGTGGTCTGCATCTTGGCTGCAGAGGTGGAGTGGTGGAACTGTCTTGCTATCTCCCCTGAATTTCTTAGTCCCGCCTCCTGGGACTGGGAGAAACTGAGGCATGCTCTGGAGCTGTCAGGTGTGGTGTGATGAATGCATGGGTTTCCAGTCCAAGGGGCAGGAAAACTAAAGGGAGCACAAGGCATTATCCTAAGTCCCTTGCTCCACAGGAGGAAATTGAATGTCTAGTGACCTGCACTTGAAAGCTGTATAGATCAAGTTATCATAACCTACAGCTGTAGGGAGGAGATTACCACATCCTCAACTTTCTAAACAACAGAGTTGTTTGAAGGCCAAGAGTTTAGTACAAATAATCATTAAAACATGTACTGTTTGTTTATTGTTTTTTAAAGGTGCAGAATTAAGCACTCAGAAGTTAGGAAATGCCAGAGTTAAGGCAGTAGATGTCTCCCTGTCTGTGTTCTTTTGGCTGAAGCTGAGGGCCATGCTGATGGGAGCACACAAATATTGTGGATCTGGTGGCGCTGGCAATCTGTCAGCATCTGGCCACATCAGATGCTCTGAGTACACCTGGCACAGGCTGAATTCAGCTGAAGCTGGCAGGACTCAGCAACACCTTCCTGGAGACAGTCAGGTCATGCCCTTCCATCAGGCAGACAGAAAATGGGGCATCCAGATCAGTGGGCACAACAGGAGAGGCTCAGCCAGCTGATTTAGCTTGTTATAGGCAGATGCAGTGGGACACAGATGCATTTTTACCTGTCACCACCATTGCCTCCTCTCCTTGGCCTCAGCCCCATCATCTGGTGAGATCTGCAGCACACCCACACAAACCCTCTACTGTGCTGTAGCCTTGCTTCATTTCTGAAGGAAATGATGCATGTTAACTTGCTGTTGATATGCACACAGAGAAGATGTTTAAATAAAATTATATGGGTAGGTGCAGCTCTGGTCTGGTATTGGACTGAAAGAGTGTAACACAGAGTACAGCCTGTATTTTTCCTGTTCACAGTTCACTGCTTTAACAGGTACCTTCTGCCGTAGATCCCTGTGTTGTTTATTTAACTCTGCCCAGCATCTGGGGGAAGGGAGTCTCATTCGCTGTGAGAGCCTGCTGAAAAGTTACTATGTAATGTCCAACAGCCCCTTTAGCAACAAACACTTGGAGCCTGGGAGATAACACACATCCCTCTGTGCCCTATTTTTGTTCTAGCTGGGCACATAACTTGAGATCCATCTCCTAGGGTGCTTTAAGAACTGCCTAGCAAGACTACTCTCAGATTGGTTAATTGGTCCCAAACTCTGAAAAGTAGTAAAGGACATCCTTTTCTGCAGGTGGGCCTGGTTTCTGGATCTACAGAAATCCTGTGTTTCTGAGATCTGTGCTTACAAGTGATGGATTTTTAAAGCGGTTTTTGCTCACTCAAAGCAACTTTCCAAGGGTTTTGAGAGGATTATTGAAAAATACAGTATTTAAAATATATAACATTAATTATAAGTGAATTTAGAGAGGCTGTAAAGTCATTGTAGATGCTGAAAGTGTCAAAACAGCTGTGAGTTGTCACTGCTTCAGAAGCTTTTTCTTCAGGTGAAGGCTCTTAGAGAGCTTTTAAAGTAATTCTTGCTAATTACTGTGTATATCTACACTTAGAAAATCTGTTAGCTACTTCCTTTCTAAATCACAGCAGCAGAAAAATAGAAAATTCAGATTCTTTTTGGATGTTGTTTACATATTGGGTTTCAGACTTCTCCAAACATATTAAAATGAAATGAAAACTTGAGATTCTCACAGCCATATAATTCCAGAATGTGGAACTTCAAAGAAGAAAAGGGCATTAAATATTCTAAGACCCACTTGTACTTTTATGTCAGGATAAGGAGTCCAGATATTCCCTTTGTATTTTCCCTCCCGTTCCTACTCATGCTAGCAGCTGTTCCACTCTACCATTTTGCTTTCCAGGGTAATGACTCTTGGGACTGAGCTATCTCACTGACCATCTGTGGCCCATACAGCAATTTGTAGTGGATAATCCCTCACACTAAATCCTCTCAGCACGTGCTGCATGTTAGTTTTGGACTTTGTCCTGTTTTGAGCTCGCTGTAGGCCTGTGAGTGACTGCAGCAAGGTGCCATCCTTCTTGCAACCAGGGGAAAGGTACAGGGCTCTTTGGAGGACAGTTAATTCAGTGCAGTTGGGGTTATTCAAGGGGTCCCAAACCCTGTTTACCACTGGGAATTAGTTAAAATCTGTGGGGAAAAATATGCAGCCAAGTCACAGTATTGCTTTCATAAAGCTTTCCATCAGGAATAGGGCTAGGCCTTGTGCAGTTGTAAAAAAAAAATACACACAAACTCTCAAAGAGGCACCAAGTGTCCCATGTATTTTACATGCTTTCTAAATGGTCATTGCTTTCTAAATGCACAGGATTTATGTTCTTATCCTAGTCGCTTTTCTCACTCTTTTCCAAACCAGTGACAACTTAGCATCATCATATCCTACCAGACTCCAGCACTGGCTAGCAGAGATTCATCACAGATTTACCTAGCATGGGCATGGTTGTCCTACGTCAGACTGAAATTTCATCTAGTACTGTCTCTGGTAGCCCAAAACCTCCAGAATTTAGGGTACTACACAAGAGCAGTGGTGGGCAGTATCTTTTTATGAATCTCTTCCAGTATGCAGGAAGCTGCGTACAATTTCTTGAGGAACATACTGCCCCTCTATGCATGCAGGGGATTATTTTTTCCATGAACAAATTAGTTTAATTTCTGGGTAACCCTGAGCCACTGGCTTTCACACACTGTGTGGCTGTTCAAGCACGGACTGCAAAGAACACACAGCCTGTGCGTGCTGTTGGGCTCTATGCCAAACTTCCCAGTGACCACAGCAAGGAGTCCCTCTGGTTGTCTCTTTGTGGGGTGAGGGATCTCAGCCAAGATGGTCAATTTTCCTGCAAGAGCTCTGCCATACCTCTATTCCCTTTTACCTTCCCTGCATGTTTGCTAAGGCATAGAGGCATTTCACCAGGATTTATTTCTAGGCAACTCTCCCCAGCCTCTTCCCTCTGCCTCTCACTTTTACTCAGCTTCCCCGTTTCCACCAACTTGTTGTTTTTACATAATGCTGCTGTAACTTTCGACGGGATGAAGACCTGGCTCTGCTTCTCCTTTTTGGAGTAAGCAAACTGCCCAAAAGCCTGGAGTGTCTGCAAGCTGCAGAAAATCCTGTGCCCAGTCCAGTGTGGATGTTTGCAGTCCAGTTACAAAAGCCGCGTGTTTGCATTATGTTAATCCCCTGGCTTTGGCTACACTGGGCAGGCAGGACCTATTGCAGCATGGAGAATGACATCATTTGGAAAAAGGGCTGCTGCATGAGGCTGCCAGAAGCTATGCAGCATCCCTCCCCTTTTATAGGGGATGGCTGCTCCATCTCAGCAGGAGAAGGCTGCTTTATCAATTGGAATAGTTTTAGTGACTGTAGAAGATGTAACACGATACAATACCATAAATCCTGTGATTTGTTCATTAAGCTCTGTGACCTAGAGATCTGCCTCATCTTAATGCATACATTGTTTTTTACTTCCCTAATTTGCCTTTTACAAATGGTGGCAGGAATACCAGGAAAGCGTAACTGATATGATGCTGCATGCAAGCTCACCCACGTGCTACTTGTGATCTGCGCAAGGAGCTGCAGAGACATAAAATGCAGGATGACTGGGCTGCTTAGTGAATGCTTCCAGCTCACTAATGCTGAAATGCCATAAAGCATCCTGCATTCCGAAACCAGCACATGACTCTCAGCATCGCCATTCTGCCCGATTCTCCCCTTATGGACGCAGTTACAAAAACGGCAGCTAAGCACAGACGTATCCCTGGCATGCTGTCAGGCAGCCTTGCTGGAGGAAGATTTTTTTTCCCCCTGCAAGCTGCCAAGGTGGACTCCTTAGCTCCTGCGATAGACTGAATGAGACTGCAGTTCCCCCATCAGTTTCATAATACTCAGAAAGCATCCATTTACATCATTGTGTGCAGTGCAGGGCAGCAGCTGCCAGGAAATTTGAAACTATTTTGATTCCAGTTGACTAGAACAGCAGCAATTGAATTAGCTGGTATCGCTATAGATAAACTGATGATCTTTGCATTTTATTTCTTTGACCAATGGGTAACTGCTGGAGCTACAGTAACCTCTGTGAGTAAGGAGACTGTTCAAGCAAATATATCTAATTTCTCGAGCTATATAATATATATATATATATATATATACTGTATAGAGAGAGACACTCACACCATTCTTTTTTAAAATGTACCTGTAAACAAAATGTCTGTCTATGCTTTTAACTTGTGTTTTGCTTCCTAGAATTTCCTTTTATTATGCTGTAGACAAGTTTGCTTGACATGGAATGGTTATTTACCTATGAAATATCATATCTATGCCTGATTTAAGTCATTAATTCTTTCAACGTCTAGTCATCAGAAAGGCTGCCAAATGCTATTAGGTTATATTTGCCCGGTCTCAGTTTTCTAGTCACTCACCCCCTTTCTATTTTAGCTTTTCCCCTATCCATTTATTTCTTTTTTCTTTCTTTTTTTCTTTTTTTTTTCTTTTTTTCATTTGTTGAAAGAAGCCACCTTCAATGCAAAGTAGAAATTTGTGTTACCTGAAAGTGTGTGTCCTTTCTTTGTTTGTTTGATGATGGGTATTTTTTTTCCCTGCGCATCTTCAGTGCAGTCCTTAAATTTTGTTGTTTTCTTTCTATCCTTGTTTGTAATGCAGTCATATTGGGGGATGGGGTTAGACAGGATATGCCAGTAGCTGCAGCAAGACATGATGCTGTGGTGGTGGATGGGAATAAGGGAGGAGTTTCCCTTAAAGAGCTCAAGCTCCCCTAAGCTCTTGTACCTGAAATAGCTCTCTAAGGAAAGGGGAAGGCTTTGCAATTTTGGGAGAGAGTGGCGGATTGGTCATGGTTTCCTTCATGAAATAGAGACCTTGGCAGTCATGTGCATGGTGGTACCTAACATAACGGTGACAGAACCCTGCTTTGATGTCATACAGGAAGTTTTTTCAATCATACAGAGAATTAGGCAATATTCCTGCATGAAGGCAAGAATCCCACTGACTTGTACTTGCATACAGCAGCTACAGCAGCAGTCTGTCCAGGGGACAGCTGCTGACATGTCATTTCGGAAAAGGCATTACATTTCTACTGTGATAGCATTACTCTCTTGCTCAGATGGAGCACAGCTTGCAGGTGTGGCAGAGGGGAGTACATCTAAGTACTCTCTCTCCGTTTGGAACCTCTCTGTGCCTGCGTGTACAGGTATGTGCTCTGTATGTGTACTTCTTCTGGAGTCTGATGGGCTTGCCAGACTGTGAAGTTCAGGAGGAGAAGTAAATCAGAAACTTGCTCAAGATTTCTTTCCACCGTCGGCAGTGGCTGTCGGTGGCAGATGGGGACGCGCAGCAGAGCATTTAGCATTCACCACAAGAAATAAGGCCCCCTCTGTTTCCCTCGTGTTGGTTCAGAAGCTAAGATAGCAATTAGCAGAGACAAGCCTGGCCCCTTGGCAGGATCTGTGTGCGGAGCCTTGTTAGGGCTTGGCCTCCGGAGCACATTGGCTACCTCCCAGCCCCACAGGAGGCCAGGGCTGACGCTCCAGGCTTCTTTCCAACAAGGTGGGATGTGTGGATTGGAGTGAGGCATGGGGGGTCCCAGCTCTTGGAGCGCTATGTATTCCCTTTCTTCATGCAGTACAGTCAGAGTGTGTGGCCTGGGCAGTGGCCTGGCCAAGTGCTGTCCCACAATGCTGAGGGCACACACTAAGCATTGCTTGTGGGTGGATATGTCCACCAAGAAGGGTTTATGTTAGCATCTATAATGACATGCTCCCTATTAGTCCTCTCCTAAGAAATCTCTCCTCTAGACCGTGCTGAGAGAGCAGCAAGCACTAAAGCTTCTGCATTAGAGAAGGATTGTGGGGTGAGAAAGCCGCTTGGGGCTCCTTGCCTGGAGTTTTTCTGGTGCAGGTGTAAGGACATTGTAACCACAGCGCATCACTGTCATATGTGAGTCTGTCCTGGTGAAAGTGCCCCACAGTGTCAGCTTAGTGCCTGTGCCATGGAAGGTATGGCTTGAGATGCACACAAGCACTGTGTGGTTGAGTTGTGTGCAAAGGAGACTGTCTGCTGCTTCAGACACTAAGGAAAAGTGCTGTGGGTGCCCCCACACCTGTGTTTTGGAAACCTTGCCATGAACATGGGCTGGTGATGCAATTGTGGACAGGGCATCCTTGCTCCTTATGGCTCCCTGGGACCTTGCAGCAAAGAAAAGGTCCCTGCTTTATCCAGTCACTGTCCTGGACAGCAACCAAGTCGTCTGGATGAAGCTGAATTTTTATCATATAGTGATTAAGTAAATGGCATGGAGACATTTGGAGAACCCACTGGGGAAGATTCTGAGGCTTGGCAGAGTCCAAGACTGTCATTTTGATTGTGCACCACGCCCAGTGTGTGGTATTTTCCCTGTGGCTAGATATACTGGGATATACTGGCAGGTGTGAGCTTCTGCTTACCTTAACAAGCCACTGGCACATAGATAGCCATATTAATGCGGTTCTGAATTTGTGTTGGATTATCCTCTCTTTCACTTTGAACTCAGCCTGTCATTAACCACAGCTACATGGCTTCTGCCTCAGAAACAGACCTTGGCCGGCCTACTTGGAGCAGAGATGGGATTAGTTTGCTGTGCAGCACGTAGAGGTGCACCTTGGGACCAATTCAAGTTGGTGTCCGGTTTCAGAGCTGTCACCTTTGATGCTTTTCAAAGTAGATGTTTGGGTCTGGCCACCCTTCAGTTTGATTTAAAACACTTTTATACTCCAGGCCAGTTTGGTTTTTTTCATTGGTGGCGGTGGGGTTTTTTTTTGTGGGTTTTCTTTTTTTGTTTTTTTTTGTTTCTGTTTTTGTTTCTCTTTTGTTTTTGTTTTTGTTTTTTTTACCCTGCAGGAGTGGGACAAATGCAGCTGTTGATGGTTGGCTTTTTAATTGTTGTTTTGGGGTTTTTTTCCCCCAAGAGCTTAGTTCCGCCTTGAGCTGTGATATAAGGTAGGCAATTTTCTGTCATTGTGTGATCCCTGAGGTCCCTTTGGACAGATGGTTCTCTGTTACCTCGAAACAATGGGAGCTACTGAGTGCTTGGCGCTTGGAAAATGGGACCACCCATTTTTGCTTCTGCTTGGTTTACATCAGTTGGAAAAGCACAAGGAAGGGAGGGGTAGCAAGGTTTTTCTGCAGCAGTGTACTTGTTGCAGTAGGAAATGTGCATTGCTGGGTATTCATCACTGCAACATGACCTTCAGCTACCTGAGTTGTTAGAGGAAGAGGGTAGTGCTGGCAGAAAGTTTAATTGTCATTAATTACTTTGTAATTTAGCAAATTAGTTTTGCTAAGGCTGTACAACATAAGAGGTGTGGCTGATTATCTTCCCAGTGTTTCACCTTTACAAGTGCAAATTACCTGAAAGCATCAAACCATCATGTGTAGTGTCTTTTTTAAGTAAAACCATCATGGGTGGTGCATGCTGTGGATGAATGTCAGACATCTGAATCTCTGCTTTCTTGGGCCTGTGGCCTGGCCTGTGGCCTGGCCTGAGGCCTCAGACTGTTCACGTGCCATTGGGACCTTTTGTAAAGTGTAGCAGACATTTCTAGCATTCCTTCCTCTGTAGTGCAGACTCCCAAAGTAGGGCCGCCCAAAAACTCCTGTGTAAAAGGACCAGCTTTGGATAACTGCAGTGTGAGAGCAGAAGTGAATTAAACGGAAGTATTTGCCCTGCGGGGGAGAGCGTTGTTATTCTGTTAAGAGCAGGCCGGGGAGAGAGATCAGACTCTTTGCTTTGTGCGTGTGGTAGATAAATCCAGGATCTCTCTCCTTTTTATTTGCAGGTAGTGGCCGTGGAAGCAGCAGTTTGCCTCCTCATACCATCATCAATGAATTTCCAGAGTATGGCACTGCAGAGTCGAGCAGACAAGCACCATCGGCTCCATCGACGTGCCAGGCTGAGCCTGTGACATGCAGTCCAGAAAGACGGGACAGTCCCCAACGTGTCAGGCCTACTCCTCAGTGTGCAGCTCCTGCTGGTAATTTGAGGCCTGATGCAGGGGCAGTGCAGCTTCACACCCCAGAAAAAGGTTTGCAACCCACAGGTAATCTGCCAGAGATCATGAAAATCTCTCGACAGCTAGAAGCAACAAAGGTGCAAGAAAGAGCAAATACTTCTCTCGATTCAGAGACGCAAATGGAAAAAAAGAGTGTTACTGGCAGCCAAAATGTGCCGGCAGCCAGAGAGCCAGTTCCAGCAGGCCAAGAAAAACTCTCAGACATGCTTCTTCCATCTGAAGGAACAGCTGAGGGAAAAAAGTATTTGATCATAGAGAAAGATCTGGCTTCAGTACGGGCTGGAGAAAAGCAGTCTGAATCCTCACAAGCCATAAGTAATAAAGCAGAGGAGGTCCACACAGCTCAGGAACCAAGCTGTCACAAGCCATCTGTGACAAACCTGGAAGCAATCAGCAGAGTGGAGAGGGGGGCACATTCTGAGGAGTTTTCAGAGTACAGTCAAGGCAAAATGCAAACAGGTACTGAGAGAAGGCTTGCTAAAGAGGCAGTTGTGAGTAAACATGTAGAATTTCAAGTTGTGGAGATCTTATGGCTGCAAAAAGCTGAGGAGCAGAGAAGAAAGAAGCACTCAGTGCTGGACTCTGTGTCTGTGGAGAGGAAGGCATTCTCCAAAACACCCAGTCACCCTGTGTCACCAATGATCTCCCCAGCCTTGCTTTCCTTGCCAGACAGTGCATGGAGTGAGGTCTGTGAAGACACGAGGCTGGAACCTGCTGCTTCTGGAGCCACTCCTCTACCACTGCTCGAAGAAGGCAGGAAGGATGAAGTTTCTGTGAAGGACAGGAAGAACTGTGATGAGGAGGAGATGGCTATGCTTGCAAGAGGCCAGGGCAGGTGAGCTGGTGCTAAGAGGGGAGCAGGGGTCAGGCAGGGGTTCTCTTGTCTAGGCATGTGGCTTGTGCCTACCTGCTTAGGAGCTAATAAGAAGCAGCAAATATTTGTCTGCTGTCTGTGGTGTGGTGTTTACTGTACTGGTTTACATGGTTGATGGTTGGCTAGTGCCTGAAGTTGGTACTGAAGCCACTTCATACCATCTTACTGAAGTTTGCAGTCCATCTCAGGTTTTGAAATGTAAAGATAAGAAGTCTTTCTGTTTGCGCAGTGATGTCTGTGTGATGAAGCATCTGTAGGAGGTATAATTGAGATCTGGACATGCCATGTGATTAAATACAGTTGGCATGCAAGCCTGGCCACAGGTACTTGAACAGATTTTCTTGTTTCATTCAGAGTTTGTGCAAAAACAGTGTGACAACCTCTGAATGGTTGGATAATAAAGACATTTTATCCAGGGACATGTAGATAATAGGAGGATAAATGTTACAATATGTGCTTTCTATATTATCTGTCCAAGAGACAGATAGTATCTATCTATCTATCTATCTATCTATCTATCTATCTATCTATCTATCTATCTATCTATCTATCTATCTGTGTTTATATCATTTTAGCAGTACATATTGCAAGAATGGTTGGCTGCTTTGCATCCTGATTTGCTTGTTTTTCTTTCCTGATGCATATCTCTGACAAAACAAAGGGTTCCACTGTTGCGCTCTGAGCAAACCATGCCCACTTTCACCTGGAGAGTTGTGTGCTGATGAGACAACATCTCTACAAGGGAGGCTTTCTTGCCTCTGCACCTCAGTATGTGTGGAGTTTTGCCAGTGCAGGGGATTACTTGGGCTGGCTACTCTAACCTCTGGCATGTTGAGGAGCCCCACAGTATTTGGTGCATCAGAGAAGAAAACTGTTCAGGGGGATGGTATACCTTTCCTTGCATCAGAAAGCAGGCTGAGTCTTCCCCCTTCAAATCTAGTTCCCCAGACTCCATATTTTTAATTGCACGTGCTTCCCTTTGCATTTTGGAGTGATTTCCTTCAGCTTTTTGCTGAAGACCCCAGTCCTAGGACTGCAGGGATAGCAAATTATCCTTCAGGGGCAGAGACTCCATTGGGATACACATCTCCAACATGTGCAGCCTCTGGCTTGGCACTGGTGCTAGGATAGATCTTACATTGTGTGTGCTTTTCTCTTTTGCACGTAGGCAGCTGATCTGTTAGACAGTACTAGGATGTCTCCCAGCCCTCTTCTTTTACTCAGAAAATTGTTTCTTTCTATGTTCCTGGAGAGGGAGATGATGCCAGTCATAAAGAGAGGTAGTGCAAGGAGAAACCAGCATTTTACCTGCAGTGCCCTCTCTTGCATAAAGCTGCATTGACCTTTCTGATCAGAAAGGCGGAAAGTGAGAACAGTTGCCCAAAGTCTAAACCTTGCCCCCAAACTGAAATGAGCTGTTTCTGGTTAATTTTCAGGATGGTGGAGGAGCGGGAAGCCACCACAGGAGGATATGAAGATTTCCTTGGGCAGAGGCACTCTGACGTCTCCACTGATCTGTACAGCTCACAGTTTGAAAACATCCTAGACAATGCATCTTTGTACTACAGTGCAGAATCTCTGGAGACATTGTACTCGGAGCCCGATAGCTACTTCAGCTTTGAGATGCCACTCACTCCCATGATCCAGCAGCGCATGAAGGAGGGTGGACAGTTCTTAGATAGGACATCAGCCGTGGGACAGACAGATGTCCCTGACAGGGAGGTGAAGGGATGTGGTGAAGGCATCGCTAATGGCTTAAGGGATGTAGGCGAAACACTCTTCAAAGGAGATGTCACAGAAGTCCCTCATCTGGAAAGGTAAAAGTAGTGGGTGAGCTTTCTGTGTGACTGCTGATTTTTCCCCAGCCTCTCTTTGCTTCAGTGTACTGTCACAGAGTGCCTCTTTTAACACTTCTACTTTTCTACAGAGAGTAATTTCCAGGGTGACTGCAGGAGAGAAATGAGCCATCCAAAGCTGCCATTCATAAGAAGGGTGACAAATATACATTTTGAAGGTTTATTAGGCAATGCTGATGTGTTGATAAAAGTCTGTCTGGTATTATCACGTCTCTGGGACCTGTTTCTGAAGGAGTTAGTTATCGTTACAAATGAACCTTGTTCAGCTACAGTTCCTACCTGAATTTATTGGCAGCAACTTTAGGAGCGGTAACAATTTATGTGCACAAATGAGTTGTCCAAATGCAGTTTGTGATCTGGATATTAAAGATGTATCTTTTGTCACAGTGTTTCCTCTCTTGAGGCCAGTGGGAGTTTAGAACATTACTTCTGCTGGGATGAGATTTTGCTCCCACATTCATAGGTTAGCTGCTTCTTTTGTCTCTGCACTTTCTGAAAGAGGAGTGAGCATTGCAAAAACGTTAGTAATTCTGTTTAGGTAAAAGGAGAGGTGAGAAAGGCTATTAAAAGAAAGAGTCGTGAGAAGTAAAAACTAGGCTGAGTGGTCAGAAAATACTGTACACTTGTAGAAAATCACTCTATGTGCAAACTTCTCTTATAGTGTGCTGTCAAAGAGAGTGGGGACAGTGAAAAGCAGACACAGACAAAGTAGGAGGTTGAATTATGAGTGGTGAGGATGAACACACCTGCAAAGTGGTGAAGGACCTTGTGAGTGACAAAGATGCCTCTGGTCTTCATCCTCCAGAGACAGGATGTTATCTAAGAGCTCTAGGACTATTCCCTTAGATTCGACTAGTCTAGTTAGAGCTTTCCTGGGAGTAAAGGTGGGAGATCTTTTATCTGTTTTATTTCTTTTGTGCTAAAATGAAAGAAGTCTTTTGAGCAGAAGTAGTTTTGCTAGCTTTATGGATTAAGGTACAGTTTGCTCTTAAAACAGCAGGCAGAAGGATGTTACGAGTTTAAAATATTTTTCCCTCCATCAGACAGTAAGACAGGTATTTAAATCTTGTGCATGCATAGTGCCTGCCAATAGGCAATAACTGACTGCTAATCTGCAATAACCTGTATGGAACCAGAAACTGAGGTCAGTCCTGAGACTTGCAGCTCCTTACTTACAGCAAAACCAAAGGCTGACAAAACTGGACAGGGGAGAACAAGCACACATTCAGATCCTGATTCTGTTACCCTATAGTTGCAGAATCTAATATTTAAAAGATATTGTCAAGTAAGGCCTACATTGGCTCATCAGGGCAGAAATTATGGCAAAGACAAGGTGTGCTTAGATAAGTCACATCAGGTGCCTGCCTAGTGTGGATTTCACTTGGAATTAATTTTAGTTTAGATTTGCAGCCATATGGATAAACTAGCAATAGATGTTTAAAATACTTTTTTCCTCAATTAAAAAAAAAACAAACAGAGAAGAAAAAAAAAAGTGTTCTTAGTTTGTTTAGGAATCAGTCTCAAGGGCTCACCTAAGGTAGATGCCAGTAGAGAATGCCACCACGGCAAGATAGCTAGCCACGAGTATGCCCAACAGAGTAATCCTCCCAACGATAATCTCACAGCTAACACCACCCTTTCTCCTTTGGTATTCCAATATCATGTTGTATTGCACCAGGCGTGTATGTTGTGTGGTGACTGACAGGCGACTGACAGGTCGTGAGTACTACTTTGTTGTAGCCAGTGGGGAATCACGGTGTTAAGAGCTCATGTGTGAGAAGCAGTGTGTGCGTGCTGGGGGCAGCGGGATGTTTATCGCAGAGGGGTCAAGGCGGTGTGTCATGGTGATGCTCAGGTGAACCAGAAATAGCCTCCTCTTCTAAGCCCTGGCGGCTCAGGGAGTTTGAACGCGCGGTTGGTTGTGTTGCCTGAAGCAATCCGAGATTTAGGTTTACCTAAATCTGCCTGTGCCTGCTGCTGAAGCTCTCGTTTCCTACAGTGCCGCAGGTTGTGCTTGGGGCTGCAGTGCCTCACGCGTAGTGCCTGCCTGGCGCTGCAGAGGAGCGGGGACACCCTCCGCAGTGGTCCAGCCCTGCCTGAGGAGGAGGGTAGGGGGAGGCAAGCCCTCGGCCCGCTGTGCCCGGCCCCGCGCGGTGCTGCCGCGGCGCTCCCGGCGCTTTGCCCGGCCGGGGCTCCCCGCTCCCGCCGCCCCTCGCCTGGAGGAGAGCGGCAGGAGAAGCCCCTCCCAGAGGGGGGGGGTTGCTGTGGGGCCTCGGCATGTGGATACTGGCAAGTGAAAAGGGAAGCGGGGGCATTTCGGGTGCTGGGGATTTGGGAGCAGGGTAGTGTGGCAGTGCGGGACAGCAAGGAGTATGAGACCCCTCGCCTTTTCCGGAAACGGTACTGCCAACCCGAGGGAGCAAAAAACCGAAACCAAAATCTCAGCCGTGCCTTGTGCTGTGGTATTTCGGCAATATAAAAAGTGGCTGGGAGGGAGCATGCTTCCAAGTACCAGCACTAGTTAACTGGGGGAGCAGTGTGAAACACGAGCAGTTCTTCCTGGCCCAGAGCACAAGGGGATGGCCGACTTGAGAGCGAAGAGCTGGTAGTTTTTCACCTGGAAACTGAAAGCCATGTGCCAACTGGGAAAAGAGGAGCCGGGGCTCCCGTGGTCATGCCCTGCTGTTAAGCAGCTGAGCACCACAGCCCCTTCGGCACCTGTCCGGAAGGATCCAGAGCGTACCTCACACAGGGAGTGAGGATAAAGAATGACCTGGCCTTGTAATGAATAAGCGGGAGGGTAACATCCTTCTCTGCTCTTAGGAAATTGCTGGCTTTGGGAGGGGTCAACTCTGGTATGTGAGGGCCGGTCACATGCCTTCAGACTGAAAAAAAAAGAGGAAAAAAATTATTAGAGGCTTGCAGGCTACAAGATCCTATGAGCTCCTAGGTCTCTGAAGATTTCATTCCTGTTGTCCTCCCTGTCAGCTGCTGGCCGTGGTTAAAAACAGTAAGTCTTGGCAAGAGCTGTATGATGGACCTGCCTGCTTTGACAGCCACCTGCTGTACTTTCTTAGGGTAGGGGGATGTCAGCAGCCCCTGGGTCTTCCTGCAGAGCAGGCAGGCTTACTTTTGCAAGTAGCTCTTTCCTGGCATAGCTTAGATGCCCTTTGTGCCTTGCCAGCGGAGGAGCGATGGTTGAGGGAGAAGGGTGTGCAGCTTGCCTTCTTTTGGGACTCTTTGTGTCTTTGGGGTGGAGTTTATTCTCTTTCAGTTCTCTGAGATAAGCTCAGTTGGTTAGAACGTGGTGCTAATAATGCCAAAGTTGCGGGTTTGATCTTTGTGTGAGCTGTTCACTTAACAGTTGGAGTCGATGATCCTTTTGTGTCCCTTCCAACTCAGAATATTCTGTCTTTTTGTAGTGATTAGCCCTCTGAGGGAGAAAAAACTTTCTGCAGCTGAAGTAGCCTTGAATTTCCACAGGAGGGGGTTCGGAGAACACAGGGAGAAGGGGTAGTGTGTGAGGTTTCAGAGCTGAGGACAGCCTTGCTGTGTGTGTGAGCACCATGGGATCCTCATGAAATAGGCTGAGCCGCAGGCTGCCAGTGTAGTGAAGCTTTGTAATCTCAAAAGGGATGTTGCATTTGGAGCGTGTTTGGTGCCCTTGTCTCTCTGTTATCCTTACAGAGGCATGCAGTCATCACTGCCACACCCATGCTCCAGGTGCTGTATTCCTCCCTTCCCATGCCAGTGGGCTGTGTTAAGGCCATCAAGGCTCAGCCTTCCTATCTGGGAGTTAAGTCTTTTAGAGGCAGTAAGGAAAACTGTTTGCAAGCTGCTACTAAGTCACTGAGCCTGAGTTTGCGTTGCCTGGACTAGGTGTAATCATTTGCAAATTGATTGAAATTGGTGATCCAAGTCAGAGTGGGGTGACTTGGATAAAGGGTGGGTAAAATAAGTATATCTTACTTTCCAAAGCAGTAGGATATACCTGAGGGGAAAAGGAGTTATTTTTTCTATGCGTATCAGAGACAAAGCATCTGTGTGACTAAATGCGAAGTGTAAAATTATCTCTGTGATGATCTCTATACTTCCAGACTTTATGGACTAGACTTCTTTTTAGTGTTTTCTTATACTGCACACTTAACAGCAGTTTTCCATTCCATCTCCCTTTGTAGGCTAGAGGCAGAATAAATTTTTAAAAGCTCACAAAACAACAACAAAAAACTTAGGGCATTTTTTTTTCCTGCCATAAGTGCCTTTTCCTGTTGTCTTGGGAAGTATTGTTTCTGTTGGCAGGACATTGCCCAAGATTTTTTGTAAATCCAGAGAGAAAATAAAAAATCTGTATTGCAACTCCTAATCCTCAAAAATGCTAAATATTTGCCACCTGCCATCATCTTCAAAGAACTGCTGGTGCTCAGCAAATTCTGCAAGTCCTGTTTTTTTTTTTTTTTCCTAGAGATGCAAACACAAATTTAGTTGCGTATGTATTCAAGAGGGGAAGAAAACAAACTCCCTAAAGCAATCTGGCAATTCTCAAAATAAATTCACAAGAATGTAGCCTGAAATTCCCATGGGTACCAGATTACTTTCAATTGTTGGGGCCTCTTGTAGTAGTTGCTATGGTGGATATTTTTCTTCTGTGTATAGGTAATTTCCAGCAGTTTCTTACTTGGCTCTCTGCTTATTCCTTCAAGACAATAAACTTTGTTGACAATTAAATTCAGTTTTGATTCCTCTCTCTGAGTCAATTCTCTGAGTCTCTTCCCAGTTTATGAATACCTGCATGCCAGTTAAAATTTTGGTTTTCAGATTGTACGCTGGTATTTTTGTCCAAAGTAGCTTGTATTTGATTTTTCAGTGTGGTCACAAGACTCAGTACTTGAGAATTAATATGTAACCTTTATACATACATTTTATTAGTCTTTCTGATGGAGGTGTAGTAGAATTTTTTTCAC